AGTAAGGGAGAATAACTTTGAAGCACTTACAGGCTTCTCGAGCTTGGTTGATTCAGCGGTAGGATTGAGCTCTGGAATCCAGAAACTCGGTAGCTCTTTGCTTCTGCAATACTCAATGTCAGATACAACAAAAATAACGTCAAAAAATGCTCAAACGCTCAAAAAAGAAAATATACGGGATAGAACACTAAAGGAAAGAAACTGGACTCAACAGGTAATACAAGCAAAGCAAAAATCTTTAGAAAAACAAGTGCAAAAAACGTCATCAAACTCACCTCTCCCCTTTCATGTTCGAGATTTCTCCCTCAGTCCCAAGCGCTTTGACTTTCTGTGCTGGTTGGACGGTTATGGCACTGCCTGGCCGTTTCTACAAAATACATCTTCGATAAGCTATGTTTGAAATATAGAAAAATAGCACCTACCAATGGGTTGGGGTTCGTGACAGCACCCTCACGAGCTTCGTTTGAAAAGATTTTATAGCCAGGATGAGCTGGGGTACCTTCGACTTCGTCAAATTTTCTAACAATCTTTTCTTGGTCGGATTTTTGGGCCTAAATGGGGCAGATTATAGCGATAAAGGTTAGGTAACGATCAAACGGACCTAAATAAAAACAGAAAACGTGAAAATCAAGCGGAAAGATTAACAAAAATAACATCTAAAACATAAATATTGAAATGCAAAATTTCTACAACCGCTAAAGCTACCTTTCTCTCCTCCTCCGCTCGAATAGCATTTTGCCGTTCCCATTCCTTCGTTCGCTTGGCAATTTCCTTCTTTTGGGCTAGAATATACTCCAGCACAGCTTCGCGATCGAAGAGAAAGCCAGATGGAGTGATGACGGGATTTCTAAAGACAAAGGGATTAATTCGAGCCAAAAGCAAAAAGTTTCCTACTTACTTGCATGGCTGCAACGTTAATGAACAGCAGTCGAACTCTTTTATAGAATCAGCTCCAAGACGAGCATGTAGCGTACCATAACCGCTGACTTTAGCGTCTCTTTGTCGCTCATGGTA